GAGATTTCAGTGGTCAATCAGAAAGAAACTCAAGATATGATATTAAAACAACTGGTGATCCAATCTACTTTGAAAGATAGAGTGCTCAATTCATTGTCTCAATATGAGAAATTTCAAGACATAATAAAGAAAGTGCAAACAGGGCAGTTAGAGAACTTTGTTATGGATAGAGAAGGATTATTAAAGTATAAATGCAGGATCTGTATTTCAAATATTGGAAGCTTAAGAGGAGATATTGCAGGAAGCTCACCTCTCAACATATAAAATTCATCCAAATAGTAGAAAGATGTATCAGGAATTTAGAGAGTTATTTTGGTGGCCAGGACTAAAGAGAAATGTTGTAGAATTTGTAGAAAAATGTATTCCCTGTCAGATGATCAAAGCATAACATCAAAAGCCAAGTGGTCAACTACAACCTTTACATATACATGAGTGGAAATGGGAGGACATTGCGATGGATTTTATGACTGGATTACCCAGATCAAGGCAGAGTAGAGATGCAATATGAGTTGTTATTGATAGATTAACCAAATCAACTCATTTCTTATCAATCAGACAGACAAATTCAGTAGAGAAGCTGGCAAAACTGTATGTTGATGAAATTGTGAGATTACATGGAATTCCAAAATCTAAAGTTTCAGACATGCATGCTCATTTCACTTTTAAATTGTAGAAGAAAATTCATGAAGCTATGGGTACCAAATTGACTTTCAGTACAGCATTTCATCCTCAGATAGATGGGCAATCAGAAAGGACAAGTCAGACTTTGGAGGATTTATTGAGATTATGTGTTTTAGATTTTGGTGGAAATTGGGAGACTCACATACCGTTGATTGAATTTGCATATAATAACAATTTTCAATCTAGTATTGGAATGACACCCTATGAGGCTCTTTATGGAAGAAAATGCAGAACACCCTTGTGTTGGGTAAAAACTGGTGAAAGAAAGATAATTGGAATTGAACTAGTAGATAAGGCTGCTTGTAAAATCAGATTGATCAGAGACAGACTAAAGGCAGTTCAAGACAGGCAACGGAAGTATTATGATGCAAAGCACCGACTAGTGGAATTTGAAGTAGGAGAATTTGTTTTCTTAAAAGTTAACCCGATGAAAGGTGTGAAGAACAGGAAAATTGAGTCCAATGTATATATGTCCTTTTGAAGTCACAGAAAGGATTGGAAATATGGCTTATAGATTGGATCCGTCAGTGCTTATGCAAGGAATTCATAATGTATTTCATATATCAGTACTCCAAAAGTATGTCTCAGATGAATCCAAGAGGATTTAGTCCAAATTAATGGTCTTGCAGCCTGATTTGAAATATGTTGAAGAACATAAACGAATACTGAATTATGATGTAAAATAGTTGAGGCATAAGGCAACCTTTTGTGAAAATTTTATGAAAGCATGGATCAGAAAGAGATGCCACCTGGGAGAAGGAAGTTGAAATGAAAAGTCAATATCCTCATCTATTTAACTAATGTATGTTTCCTTATACTTGATTTAATTTCGAGGACGAAATTTTTATAAGGAATGGAGATTGTGACAACCAGTTCATCCGGCCCGTTCAACTGAACCGGCCGGCCTACCCTATTAAACGTGAGCAGGTAGTACAGAGGGAGCGGGCGGAAGGCTGCGTGCGGGAGAGCGAGGTAAAGTTTATTTTTTTTTTCAATTTTAGCAATTGATCGCATTAAAGGATGAGAACAAAACTCCTTTTCATTGCCGCAATTAAGGAAGTGTTAATTTGGAAAAAAAATTCAAGAACGAGAGAAACGACCGAGGAGAAAGAAGGAAAAAGGTTGGTTGAATTTTTCTTTCAAATTTTCGTATAAATTTCCTTCTTTTACTTCATTTAAAGCGAACGATATGTTTCTTAAAGGAAAAGAGGGGAGTGAAAGCAAGGAGAAAAAAATTTTTGGAAGAAGAAGAAGGATTTTAAGGAATTTGAAAAATCCCCATTGTAAATAAATTTATATCATGAGAAATTTCTTATTAAGTTTTATTAGCAAGTCAAGTGTTCATGAAAAAATTTATTATTGATTTTAGAGATTTTGGAAAGGAAGGGATCGAAAGCTATAGGAGTTTGATTTAACAAGAATTCCTGGAAAAGAAAACTATCGTAAGATAGAGGTAATGTTATAGTAGGAATTAAATATTGTTAAGGCATTCAAATTTGATTTAATACTAATTAAATCATTATGTTATTGTGAACAATTCTCATTTATGGACGAGTATTGGAAGAGAAAATAAAGTGGGTAATTATGAAATTTTATTTATTGTATTTTTTAGTTCGTTTCAAAAGAAGCATGCATATAATTATTTAAAGCTTATGATTTATATATTTTTTAAAACTATTATAAGAAGTAAGTAAATGTGTCTACAAATATGGATATGTGAAAGAAAGAAAACATACATATAATAAGAAAGTATATATGAATGAAAGAATTCAAATAAATGAAGATTAAGGAAATGATACAAACATAAATGAATCAAAGGAAAAGGAAAAATGCTATGCATGCAAAACTTATAGGAGTTCACCCCTGTATGGTACTGGCTGGGGAACCAATGTACCCGTGCACGTAAAATAAGAAAAAGGATATGAAAATAAAAATAGAAATGGAAATGGATTGTACCCTTGATACATATAGACGGTGCTCCTGTACAATATGAATTAAGGAAAATAAATAATTATTAAAGTAAATGTTATAAATGAATATGTTATAGTATGAAAAAGGTTAAGTAAAGGAATACGATACAGTATGTATATAAAATGAAATGAAATAAAGTAAGGATATATGCATCAAATGTTAAATTAATGAATCAATATCAAATGTTATATATATATATACATGTGAGTTATTTTTAATTATTATCCACTGAGTTTACGTTGTAAACTCAACCCCTAAATTTAATGATTCAGGTAAATCCCCAAAGAAGAAGTAATGGCTGAAAGGGAAGAATTCGTATATAGAAGACGGCGTGCAAATGACAACATGTAATTTAAATTTTGGGTATTAGTGGCTCTTCAGTACAAATAAGAAAGTGGTGTATTGTTTAATGAAAAATTTTTAAACCATCCGACTTTTTAGTATCCGCCTCGTTAAATCGAGCATCTGGGCTGGGTCGTGACACTAGTATCCAGAAACCTATCACAAGCAATAAGGATAGTGCCCCTAACAAAGAAGGGTACATTTATACCAAAATAAATAACAGTTACTTACTTTTAGGCAAGCGACATAGAACTTCAAGCCTATGAGATATTCAATCGATAAAGCTATGAGGGTAACGACTCGAAAGACATTAGAAGTGGAACCAAATAGTTATAAGCACACACTTGGAAGCATCTAAGCTAATTGACTTTTAGTTAATATTAACTATTGTAAAGATGTTATCATTCTAATAAGATCAAGCCAACAATAAGTTAGGAGATTCCTCCCAAAAAATTAATTAATAGAGCAATATTTATAATGCAATGAAAATATCAAGACTATATAATTTAATCTACTTGGAGCATTAATAACAAACAAGTATTTCTCTCCTACAAGTTCAAACCCAAATACTAAAAATTCGAGGTTATACAATATCCATACAAATTGAATCTTGTTTCTCACTATAAACAAAAGAACTATTAATTTGGTGAGTAGAACTATAAGAAGAAGAAAGAGAGAAGGAGAGGAAAAGGAGCTTACTATAGAATGAGGGAAGATTGAGACATGTTCACCAAAGGTTGATGTTGGGAGGAGTAGGTTGCTGTCGAGGAAGTAGGAGAGGGTGCTCGCCAGTTGCTATTTGAGAGAGAGAAATGAAGAGGAAAAATAGGGGAGAGATTTGGCGGTTGTTGCAAGAAGGAGAAGGGAAATTTGATGCCCTAAGTCTCTTATTTGCTTTAAATAGCGAGAGGAAGGTCAGTGAGGCAGGAGGATTCCATAAGGCGGTGAAATCACCCAATTAATACAATTGGAGAGAGAGAGGGCACGACTGGGGAGGCATCGTTCGGTTTGCAGGCATGCAAATATTGGTTCGCACAAAAGGGAGGGGGTCGGACAGCCTATTCGTCGCAGCTGGTTCGCGAGTGTGAAGAACCTGGACCGGTTCGATCCGATTATAACAATGACAAAGTTATGGAGCCAAGCTTTAAAAGTTGCAAAAGAAAGATGGCAAATTGCAGCACCCAATACTACTCTCAGACTATGCTTTCGTTTTCCATCAAAATTACAAGAAATCTGAAAAGTTATAACGATCACAAAAATTTTAAAGACTTTGAGTCCTCCAGTCTTAAATGGTGTCCATTGACCTCACTTAATTGACTCCAAAATTTTTCAATCATACACAAACGGAATGTTTGGTATGAAAACCGGAGCAAACCTGCACAGAACAGAAAACAGAGGAGAAAGAACAGGGAAAAGAAGAAGAACAGAGAGAAGAAGAAGGATAGAACAGGAGGAGAATAGGTGGAAAGTTCAAATATTAGTATTCAATTCTAAAAAGATCTCGTCCCCAACCAGTACATAAGTAATACTCTAATAAAACGAAAATAAAATGAAATATGGAAATAGCAATATTAAGCTGAGGTGGCCACTACTTGGCATATGCAGAAAAGTAATAACTAACTAAAGCTGCAGAGGAGTGGAGGCCGTGGGCTATGGAATGATGCGTTGGGATATGCTCCAGTACCATGATACGCCACATCAATCTTGAATACAAACCATAAACAAAGTCTTATCAAATGCTTAATGGGACAGAAAATTTAACGTTGCATAAATATTGTACATAAGTATGTAAAAGAGACAAAATTTGGAGGATTACTAACTTAAGAACATGCTGTCACCAAGACACTATTAAGAGTAAGACTTCAAATGCTTTGCAACATTATATGCTACATTTATTGCAGGTAATTCAAGAAAAATTAAAAGATGATGTTTCCTAATAAGTCATGATAGTATAAAATTCAACTTAAACAAAGCAAATCGGAGTTGTAAAGTATAAAGAGAATTACGATGCAGCGCAAGTGAACAGCAGCAATAATAGAAGATAGATGCCTTGTTTTGACCGTTCTGATGCTTTCTCCTTGATAGTCGTCCTCCAATCACAAAAATGAAATACAGCAAATGCGAATGCAAATGATAGAAACCATATAAATGCAAGAATAAATCCAGCAGCACCTGTAAACCCAACAGACTGCAGCCAAGAAACATGAAATTTATATTAAAATCTTTCATATAGAATTATTGTTTTTAAAGTACAAAATTTGCCTATAGTGGCATAGACGGAAAGAACTACTACTAAATATAAAACAAGATTTGAAGCAAGCATAAAACAAAGAAAACAAATAATGAACAGGATTTACCATTTTCTATAAGTTTGAAGTTGGATTAAGCTATGGCAATCATTTTTTATGTTTCTAATTCAGTTTTTGTACATTCTGCCAAATTAATTAACAACGAGCTTAGTTCCCTTGATGATTTTCCCTCAAACTAAGCTTCTGTTTATGTTGGCTTAGAATTTGCCCAAATCACTAAGGCAAAAAAATTTGAAGGCATTGAGTGTTGTCGATGCCTCAATTCAGCCTAAACATATGTGGAATAAGGATAATGCTGGCTAGAAATTAGCAAACAAAGACTGGAACCTACACAACCAGTGACCGAGTTTGATCATTCTTGGCAACATACAATCCTAACAGATAAAAAAACAGCCAAACAAGATCTAGCATAAATTAAATACCAAACTCCTGAATAAAGAACATTCAAACCAAATGACGAGTTCCTGCATGTATTACCCAATATATATGAATTACATGGAGAAAATTATCTTCCTTGTTGCATGCATCCGAGAAAAATAAAAATGAGAAGACCGAAATCGCTCACCGCCCAGTAATGCTTATTGGTGATGTCCCAGCCTCCTCTGTAAGGCCTCAACTTGTTCAACACATCTGGCCTCCTAGTTCTCTTCGCAGCCAATACGAGCAGAAACCCGGCATCTGGAGCCATTGCCACATGTCCAGATGCCAATGGCGTGAACTTAAGAAGCCCGTCGGAAATAGGCGCGAAATTCCGCCCGCCTTCATCCAGCAACAAAGAAGGAAAACAAAAATCAAACAATAGAACTCATTAAACTGAAATCGAAGAAACGACAACAAAACTAGCAAGCAGAGACTACTAGAAATCAAGAAATTCCAATCCCTGAAGAGATCAAAAAACCAATGTGAGTTCCCAGCATCATCCGACTTGCAGCCCTCCAAAATAAAGCCCCATTCTACTACCAGCCAACTCCCAAACAACAATGTTTCAAAATATCCGGCCACCATTTAACGATATTCGATGTCGCCTACCTATTAGGAAACTACTAGAAGCACTCAGTGCACTGAAGCGGGCCGGCGAGCCATCAGTCACCGCCGAAAAAATGACGGATAGTATGAGGGAGAAAAGCACCATAGATGTGAAAATGGCAGCGATCGCCATCTCCAGATCTCCCGCGAAGCATCTACGCCATTTTCATGCGGGTAGAAACCGATCAAGAAATTCCAGCGCAAAAGTTAGGATTTTGCTCCCATGCCCATTCCCATTCTCTATGACTCGAGTTCGGTGTTGAAAGTCAGAAGAGAATGTAGAAGTAGGAGACGGAGAGATAATCGGCCCATCACCGGCGGGAGAGGAGGGCTGACAAACGAACTCCCGGAAAAATTATCACAGTAGGTCGAAGTGGGGACAAACTTTGTACTAAGTCTATTTTCTTTTTAGTATAAAGTTGTTTGCTATTGTGTAGGCAGTATCAAATTGTATATTTATTATAAATTGTGACTTAGCATCTAATTTGATCTAAATGTTGGTAGTTTTATGGTAGTTTTAGTTCCTATCATAATATTACCATTAGAAGTAATGATATATTTACATGAAATGATTTTAATTGATTTTAATTTTAGTTGTATTAAATTTTTTATAATTTAATATTATTACAATGAAAGATTGACTTTCATCCAACTCAAATGAGTGAGTTATAATATTATCATCAATAGGGCTATTAGTCATTCATTATTTACAATTTATATATATATTTATATATCTATAGTTGGTTTATCAAGACGTCCTAAAATCATATAAATAAACATCAACCCAAAGAATTACAATAACTTTTAATAGAATCATAGCTCTATGAGTCCATCAATTCGATCAGCCAATATTTAAAAAGACTATATTGACCTACATAACAATACACACAAGTGTATTTTACGAGCAATTTTTAATTGATATTTTAATATGGCCATTGCTATTTTAAAATGGAATATAATTTACAAGAATAATATTTATTGCATTTAATAGAATTAGCATGCATGAAAATGAATAATTTACTACATATATCAATTCAATGAATAGAAGTTTATGCATCAATAATTCAAGATAAGATTATTTCAACCACATGATAAATCCTTTATGAATATTAAACAAGATATATATAAAGGAACAAATTAGGTCTTAACATAGATCATCAATCACTTTGAGATGGTTTCCATTTACAACTCTCTCGACTTAGCACTAATCAACATATTCGCTTACACCTACTCACTACAAAACTCACCCCAATATAAAAGAACAAATTTGAGAAAGGCAATCCTCCACCGAGTTAGTTAGAGTGTGACATGTGTTTTATGGTGGTCTGTATTAAGAGACATTAACTTATGTATTTTCTTTCTTTATTTGATGTAACCTTTTTTTTTAGCTTTCGAATCCCTATAAATAATGCGTGAAGAGGAACATTTCAAAACTTTTGGGCATTTACAAATATGTGAGCTATTAGATTATTTCATATAGAGTTCTCCCTCTCTTTCTTTTCATTATCAAACAATTTATCATGTTACATCCCTAAAGCTCGTTGCTAGTAAGTTTGGATATTACACATGGATATTTTTTATCCAACATCTTTAGAGGTGTGGTGAGTGTGGATTGAATGATTGATACCAATGACTAGAAGGCCAAGTGCAAGTAGAGTCATCCCAAACCCTTAATGAACATGGGGTACTCAAACTATACTACTCACCTTAATCTCATGAAAATGGAAGAAATGTTGACAAAAATGATATATGATGCTCTAATAAGGCTATCAAGAAATGTGCAAAAGGGGAGCACCCCATAAGGGTCATCTACTTGATGGTTCATCATAGAAGGTCGAATAACAAACGTTGACCTCGACACCCAAAAGGTCAAGTGATGAAGAATACAACCCACCTCTTTAACACACTAGGAGATTAATTAAAAATACTTTCTTTAGGGAGATAGCAAAGAAAAGGCTACCTATGAAGTTAAAGATGACATACTTGCAGTCCTATAGGAGCAAAATTGCTCCAATTGACCATATGACCACCTTTGAGTCGATGACCTCACTATTAGACAATGAATATGCTCTAGAGTGCCGGTTATTCTTTACAACCCTCATGGAGTATGCGTTGAGATTACTCACTTGCGTGCTTGTATGATTATCACCTCTCTCTTATAATTTAAGATAATATTAATATTAATTTAGTTCCAGAGTGCCTATAAGTTCTAAAAGAGCTTACAAGCTCTCCTTAAAATGGGTCAAGAACTTGGCAAGTCATTGAGGAGCTTTATTATAAGGCTCCAATGGTAGATGTTGAAGGGAATGTCATTTTCCTTACACGCTTAGCCTATAGTGGTTGAGGACATTGTATAAATTGTTGGAGCTCATCAACAATCACATCAATGCAAAGGAATACACTTGGGTGGTCAAAATCATCTTCGACCACTCGTGTAAGAACTAATATAATGGTGATTATAAAACCTATTATGACATGAACTAATATGTTCATGTAACATGTTTTTTATGTATATATGTGAATATTTCTATATGTATTATCTGCATAAGATTGAGTCCTAAGGGCGTTATATGTGTGAAAATCTAGATGTGTATACAAAAATCCCTCTAGAGTGCTATGGTGATGTCTTATGGGCATTGCGGTGCTAAATTCCTAGTTTTTTGGTAGAAAAATAAGTACTATGGGAGAGCTACATCACTTATTTTTAGGCATTGTGGTGCCAAGCTTTCAATATTTTGAATAGGAAATAATTTCTTGGGAGCGCTATGGTGTTGGCTCTTTGGGTGCCACAATGTTATAACCAAAATTTTTATAAATATCAAAATCCACTAAATCTTTCATCACTCTTACATTTCAACCATTGGTTTTGATGGGCTAGAGAGACAGAGAGAGGAGAATTCTAAAGACACAACGTACATTTTGGAGGTCTTCAGGCTATTTTCTTTTGAAATACTACTTGTGAAAGTTGTTGAATCTTTGTAAGTTACATATATCTTATCTCTATTTTCAATAAAATGGAATTTTAGATTTTGGGGGTTTTTAATGGCATAAAACTGGGAATATTATGATATATAAGAAATTTTCAACATGCAACTTTTAGTATATTTTCTCTTATTATTATGCATATTTTGACTATTTCATCTAAATTTTCACTAGATGTTTTAGATTGTATGAGATTTTTAGTATTTTTAATATATTTGTTGGCTCTCATAAAATCTATTATAGAAGGATAAAATCCCTGAAATAATATTGCGAACATTATCTGTAAACAATTTTATGATTAATAATTATTGAAGTGTGTGTAGAAATTATCCATAAAATTATAATTGTTCTATTATAAAAGTGCAATTCTATGTATTTTGAGATGAGTCTAATTAAGTTTATATATATTGAAAGTGTGATGCTTCTGTATTTGTGTGATTAAATCTATATGAAGGAAGTGCTAATGGTTGTTATTGATGTCCTATGCATCCAAGTGAAGGTATAAGAGCCTGAATTACAAATGAAGAAATAGTGTTATACATTGGTAAGGGTTTGATATTGAGGTGATGTTCATTGGAAGTTATAAGGGCCTATTTTAGATGTGTTATGCATAGGCAATCATACCGACCTAAATTTATATATGATTTATCTATTAAATGTTAGGAGGTATAAGGGCCTAAGGAATTGATCTGATCTGAGGTGACTGAGAACTAAATATGATGCAATTCATTTAATTATATTTCATATGACCGTGTGTTATTTATGTTATCTGATATAATTATTATGTTGATACTATTATGAACCTTTTATTGCTCTGGTAAGAGTTATATGGATTATCTATATATCTATTTATGCATTTGTCGAAATAATATATTTATACTACAGATTTGTTTATTATTAAGAATTTAGGTAGGTTCAGGGTAGCCTACTAAGTTGTGGTTTGCTCACGTCTTTTTTTTTTTTCATGTGTTAATTTTATGTTAGGGAAAGATAAAGGGGCGGATTGGATAGATAAAGGTTATAACTTTTTGTAGGTTAGGTATGTTTCTGTTAGTAGATTCCTTTGATAATCATGGTGTATATTTGATGAAAATATATTGGAGTTTTGTACATGATTATTGTGTACATGAACATTTTTTTTGTATAACTAAAAAATGAAAGAAAATGTTCATAGTTAATTTTTTGCATTATGAATTTGATGTATCGTGGCTTTGTGATCTGTAAATGAATGAAATGGAAAAGGAATTTCTTTCAAATACATATTCATAACTAAATTATTGCAATTCAACATGGATTAACCTATTCGAGATTAAGATTTTGTCAGGTTGGTTTGTGTCAACATGCCCTAAGAACTTGCAACAAGAATGAAGCAATGACATGGAAAAAAATTGCCCAAGGAGCAAAAGAGATAGGAGGCCCCTCATGCCACTAGAGCACCGTCGCCTAGAACATCATAGAGTTCCCTAACAAGCCAAGCTACTAATAATTGTTTGTCTAGCTATGTCGAGGGTAGAGGATCTTCTCCTTACTCCTTTGATCAAATATAGATTTGCTTACACGAATATACTAAGATCTCCACAAACAAAAGTATCTTATATGTTCATAGCCTCCTTTAAACTTTGCTCTAAGGGAACACTAAAAAACACACTCACAAGAACATAATTTTCACTCAAGTGATAGAACTTTCTCATAAAAGAACTAAAAAGATATTTATAGTAAATACAGGAATGGGCTCAAGCGTTGCGCCGCTTAAGGAGGTGGCTCCGCGGTGGTGAAAAATTAACTAGCACCTTGTTGCCATAAAATATGCTCTATTATGGCATTGACTGATGTGGCATGACTGCTCATATTGATAACTGCTCTGCCCTAATGCTCTAAAAATTTGAGCATCGCGGTGTTCAAATAAAGGATCCGATACTAGGGAGTTGCGAGGTAGGACACCATGGCATTCATTTTCCCAAGACAACCATTGCTGCAGTGTTGAATTTAGCAGTGTTGTGTTATGCCGCGACATTGACTATGGTTATGCCGCAACGCTTAAAAATAAAGAAGACTGGCATTGCAATGTTAGAAACATGTACTTCAACATGATTAGACTCGGGGCTGTGGCATGATATACTCGGGCGCTGCAATGGTACTCTACACATAATTTTTTATCATTTTCTAAATATTTCTTATACAAACGCAACTAAAATAATATAGTTTTACTAAAATTCAAATAAAATAAATAATATATAATTTATACTTAACAAATTTCCATCATCTAATTAAACACCTGCTAGTCTCAAATAAAATTTAATATTCATCCCTTGATAATTTTACTAGTCAAAGTAAAAATTGATAATTTAAAATTATCAACATATATGATAATACATCACAGTCTAGAAGTAATTTGGAATGAACAAAGTTACAATTTTAGTTTGAAAGAGG